CACCACGTACGACCACATTGTACTGAGTATCAATTAATGCTTCTTCTTAGTTCCCTGAAAAAAAAAAGTTATTTATGTTGGCAGTCAGAATCTTAATTTAATATAGATGATGACTTATAAGCCTAGATAATATGTAGAGTATATGAGTAACATATTTAATTTCTTAGGATGAAAACATATGGAAAAGGCAACCATTTTCAATGGAGAGAAAATGACTGTGCATCGCGGGTGAATCTGGTACACGAACCAATGATACCTTAATTTCACAGAGAATATTAAATTTGTTGCTTCTGTATTATTAAGAATTTTCTATTTCTTTATCTATTTTTTTCCCTATGCAACATGGCTTTTCAACTGTTACCCCCCAACTAATTTCCCAAGCCCTATAGGAGTTTCCTCAAACTTCCTACAGCAATTCTGCATACATGTAAGTGTTTTTTTAGTCCAAGCTTGTCTTCAAATTCATTTCTATTGGAGGGAGTGTTGAGCTGGAACCCAAAAACAGTCCCTAGCTAGAAAACCTTGAATTCGAGGAAGTCACAGATGACTTTAATGCTGAAGGACTGCCTAAGATTTGAATACACGCGTAGCTGTCGTACCAAAGCATGATGTTTCAAATCTTGGTCTTTGCAGTACATAAAGAGAAACTATAAAAACGAAGGACTATAAGGACATAACTATCACCATATAAGTCACAATCTCACGTGAAGGATGCCTACAGATTACACTATCAAAATAGTACATTTTGTTGATTACACAAATATAATCGAAAGAGTATGAGGTGATACAACATTTTCGAAGTTGTCGTAGCGTATGGGGGGGGGGGGTGGGGCGGGTTGTCGGAGAAGAGGATGCGCTGGGAGTCTTTTCAGTCTAGGGACCGCGTAGAAGCCTTGTACAAGATAATTGGAGGGAAAAACGTTGTAGAAGATTATGAAATTTAGTAGACCAAAATAGCAAAATTCAATAGATCACAATAATGAGAATGTATTTATTGTATCTAGAAATGTAGCACATGTTTGGGATGATTGTCAAATGTTCCTGTTTTATACATTTTATCCGACAATCGATTAATTTTATCATATTTTCTATTCTATCTTTATTTTACTCCTTAAAACTTTTAACTGGGTACATTGTCATACTGCACTATAACTGCCAATATGAATTTATGTAATATAATAATTAGTTAATTTAAACTTGAACATGTTAATATCCTGGTTAGGTATGTACGTATGGGAAGGTTTAATAGAGTAATATAATCTAAAATATGTAACATAAAAGCTTAGAAATAACATAAAATGTGACTGCTGATATGGCAATTAAGCAATCTAAAAATAAACTATGTAATATAGAAGGGAGAGGGTGGTATAAAAGGTAATTAGTAAAGCACTGAACTCCTGAGTAGTGAACATTTTGAGAGAGAAGCCTTTAATGTCTGGAGTTCAAAGAAGTCAGAGACAATCTTACTGCTGAATGGCTATCTTAGTTTTCAGTACATGTACGCTGTCCTATGCAGAGCATAAAATTTCAAATCTAGTTCTTCGTAGTACACAAAGAAAATTATAAAATGAAGGAATATAAAAACACAAACATAACAAGTCACAAGATGAATAGCAGTTACTTTTGCAAAAAGTACCTTTTTAATAACATTTAGTATGAGGTGATCACAAGTCTTTAAGTTGTTTAGGAAATGAAATTGAAAAAAGTTTTAGTCAGATCAAGAGGAGATGCTAAGATTTTTAAGAGCTTTGCTAGCTAATGGAATCGAATCTGACTAATATACCTGGTTTACACATTTTTTTTATCTGTAAGTATTGTAAGGTACAAAGCTAAAGTAGTTCATTTTTGGGATAATTGTCTAATATACCTGTTTTACACATTTTTTTATCTGTAAACCCACATGACAGGTTTCATCATATTTCATTCTATATCTTTATTTAATCTTTTAAAATTTAAACTAGATAGACATGTTTATATTGCACTGTAAGCTGCAACATGAATTATGTATTATATGTGAAAGTTGAACGTTATAAGATAGCGGCTAATTATATATGTAACAAAAAGTTAATAATGTAATATAGTCTGCATCATACAATGTAAAAGCTAACATACAATATGAGACGTAACTACTGATAATCATGGAGTATATTAGAAGACGTTATTTAGTATGCAATGGTAAATTTCAAGAAACTATCATAATATTCATGGATCTATCTACAAACTAACGTTAACTATTTTTATTTTGATTCATCATATTTCTATCACGAACTTTTTTGCATTAAATTACCATCCGACCTACCATTGCTAGTTCAAGTAGTCACGCAACACGCAAGTGATATATTTGCATTAAATTACCATCTATATAATGTCTAAGTAGGAGATCACAAAATTAAAATAAATATAGTTTCCTATAATTTCTTAAAGTTTACACTTCACATAATTTTCCTAACTTCCGTAATGCAATGTGTACATGACATATTAATATTTAGTATATGACATATCAATATTTAGAACTTTCTACATTAGCAAATCTGTATTGTGCCATAGGTGCATATGCAACGTAGGTCAACAAAAATTGTTCAATCTATTGGGGAACTCGTCGTCACTTTCGTAACCCTTTATTTGATTTCCACCTCCCATTTTTAGGGTGAACCAACAACTCAAGGTTTAGGATGAAGCGGTTGACATTAGAAAAGTTTAAATTTTTAGAAGTCCACAGATATACATATTCTTTTCAATTTTTGGTAGGGCATAAACAAGGATACAGTTATAAGTTAATCGGGCACTAATTGAGTATAGTTATTATGTTAGTTTTTACTCGCACCACACGCAGGTTTTTCTCATGCGTGGATCTTCTGATATCTTTTGCATCTACGTCTAATTCACAAATATGCTTCATAGTCACTTCGATAAATGAAGAAAAGTTTTTAGATCTAATTGTGCTTGTGAATACACTTTTTCAATAAGTCTATTTTCGAATCCCCATAGCAATGTCTCTCAATAATCTTATCCACACATGAACATAATTTAATTGCTGACAAAAAAACATCGTCATATCTTGTTGTCCACACACAAGAACAAAATTGAGTTGCTTACTCGAGTATTATAGATAACCCCATCTCTTACCAATTTTTGGTAGAAGAAGCTCTCTTAACACTTGTGCTTCTTATCTACAGCACACTATCGTCTCTGAAAAATGACTCATCACCATATACTTGCTTGTTTTAATCTAACTCTGACTATATTCATGCCTTCAAACATTGGTTTGTGTTTGCTTTGTTCTATTACCTCCTTAAGAACGTGACAAACTTTCTCCTAGAATGCGTACTTCTTGCATAAGGTTCAACACAAAGGGAATCGATGTTATGACTCAAACACTTGGACCCATAAGACTTGAACCCGGAGCCATGTTTGGCCTGGTTGAGGACTTAGATTGAACTGACGATAAGGTTGAGGTGTTTAATCCTATTTGTCGTAGGATTTGATTTCCTGTTCCGTGATGGCTAAAAGAGATAAGGACTCACAAGAGTCCAAAGTGTTTTCAATTCTTATATTGTAAGAATTCTTATTGGAGAGAGAATTGATATGAAGAGCGTTTATTAATATCATCAAGTTCTTAGTTGCAAAAACAACTGAGGGTAGCTAGCAGAGAAAGGCTCAATGCCTTTTCGGATCACCTGCAACAAACCCTCAGCTTTTATAGGATTTTGTTTTTCTCTTGGTTGTTGATCATAGGCTCTCTTTTATTCTTTTGAGAAAGATTGTATTGGGATCATTGGGGTCTGTTAGGGATTGAGTGATTGAAAGATTTCTATATTCTATTCCTTACAAATTAGTAAAGACATTCTCCTCATTCGCCAGTGGGTTACAATGTAGGCTTTTAGTCGTACCAGGTATATCCATGTGCTATTTGTGTTCCTGGTATTTTCAGTGCTTTCACGTGATTGCTTCTGATTTATCTTGGGATATTTTTCATAACAAATTGGTATCAGAGCCTCAGCTATCAATCAGACGAGAAAATGTGACAACCACTACGAAGTGGGATATTGATAAGTTTGACCGTAATATCAGTTTTAATCTTTGGCAAGTTAATGTGATCACTATATTGTAGATAGAGCAGATTGAAAAAGGCTAAACTCATGAAATCGAACAAATCAGCTATCATGGTTGAGGAAGATTGGATAGAGTTGAATGATAAAGCTCTCACAGTGATCTAGTTATGTTTGACAAATAAAGTTTTGGAGGAAGTTCTTATAGAAAAGACAGCTGCTAATTTATGATCTAACATGGAGGATTTGTATTTGAAAGAGTCGCTCACTAATCACCTCCTCTTTAAGCAATATTTGTACACACTTTGAATACAAAAAATACACCCATCATATCTCATATTAATGAATTTAATTTTATAATTACATATTTTAGTAAGATTGATGTGAAGATCGATACTAAAGATTAAATCCTATTGTTATTGTGTTCTTTATCGCCTTCCCACAAATACTTTAGGGAATATTATGATTTATGGTTGAGATTTTATTAGCATCAAGGATATCAAAGAAAACTTGTTGAATAAGGAGAGATTTGACAAAGAGTTAATCACATGTAAAAGTGGTGATAAAGTTAATGGTTTATTTGTTCAAAGAA